CAGCTCAAGAGCAGGAAGCAAGCAGAAAGGTGGGCCACTTAGTACAGAGGTAAGAGCTGAAGATGCCTCCAAGTTAAAGGTGACTGGTCTGGACTCGGTGTCATTCCATGTGCCAAAGACCTATGTAATTTAGCTCCACCCCACTTCTCTCATCAAACAGACACTGCTGTTTCTGAAGGCTAGCTTGTAGATTAGTGACCCGATTTCCTTCCCAGCTCCAGAGGTTCTTTGTCCTCAAGTTTCAAGGAAGGAACTATCACAGTTTTGGAGAGTGAGACTGAAGTATAACTGCCTAGTGGCTCTGTCACTGACAAGACAGGGCCTGTTTCTAAGCCTGAACTAAGAAGACTTGGTTCAATTCCATGTTGTAAACCAACAGTCCTAAGGAAAGCAACAAGTTAAGAAGAGACAAAACCTTAAGTACACAGTGATGTCACTTAACAGGACCAATTCTACAGAAATAAGTGTGCACTGCACAAGCAATAGTATATAAAAAAGTGCCCAATGCAGTTTTATAGCTGGGGGAAAAAAAGAAAAGTGTGATTCCTGCCTTACATAGAATCCTGTGCAATCACCAGCTGTATGATCATTCCACAAAAAAAAAAAAAAAAAAAATCACATGGAAAAGCTGCTGTGGGATGTTCTGTATGGCAAATGTGTTGCTGATTAGTCAATAAATAAAACACTGATTGGCCATTGGCTAGGCAGGAAGTGTAGGCGGGACAAGGAGGAGAATAAAGCTGGGAAGTGGAAGGCTGAGTCAGAGAGACACTGCCAGCCGCCACGATGACAAACAGCATATGAAGATGCTGGTAAGCCACGAGCCATGTGGCAAGGTATAGATTAATGGAAATGGATTAATTTAAGCTATAAGAACAGTTAGTAAGAAGCCTGCCACGGCCATACAGTTTGTAACCAATATAAGTCTCTGTGTTTACTTGGTCGGGTCTGAGCGGCTGTGGGACTGGCAAGTGAGAGAGATTTGTCCTGACTGTGGGCCAGGCAGGAAAACTCTAGCTACAAAAAGCTACTAAAAATATGTATATAAAGCCTTCCCTGCCTTTCTAGACAGGATTTCACTGTGTAGTCCAGACTGGCTTCAAACATATGCTCTTCCTGAGTTTTCTAAGTACTGGACTCATGGGCACATGCCACCATACCTCAGTAGGGTCCCCCTTTAAACACAGACAGCACATACACACGTAGAAAAGATCTGGACGACTATGTAACCAACGCTGAATAGTGGTCATCCATAGTGAATGAGATTTCACTTTTAATTCTACAGATTTCTATGCTGTTTAACACTTTCTGTAGTGCTCCCGCTTTGCCCCATGCTAGGCAATCACTCTTACCAGTGAACTGTATCTGTAACTTGTTATAATTTTTTTTCATAACAAAGAGGTTTTAGATGTCAATAACTAAAAAAAACAAACAAACAACAAAAAAACCTTGTCCAATAACCTTTAAGAATAGAGGACAAAGCCAAGAATGGTAGTGCCCATCTGTAATCCCAGCTCTAAGGAGATGAAGGCAGGAGGATCTTGAGTTTAAAGCTAGCTGGGCTGCATGGCAAGACCTTGTCTAAAACAAAGAGGACAAATAAGTTTATTCATAAGTAAGGAGAAGATAAAATTGAAGGAGATAAAAATGTTCTATAGGGTTGGAGAGATGCTCAGGTTAAGAGCACTGACTATTCTTGCAGAGGATCCAAGTTTGGTTCGCATATCACCCATATCATGTCTAACTCAGCTTCAGGGAATCCAATGTCCAGTTCTGGTCTCTGTAAGCACGGGTACGTACGTACACGTACACACACACACACACACACACACACACACACACACACACACACACACACACTCTCTCATAAACATTCTGGTTAAGGGAAAAATATTTTAAAAATGAGTAAAGGATATTCATATTGTCTAAGATCTTCCAACTCCCAAAAGAAACTGCAGAATTCAAAACTGCAGTTCTTAAATCTGTAAGGAGATAGGAAGGGATGACAGGGGAACATCTGGTTTTAAGATAATTTAACAGACTTACATGTAATCTGCCTCGAAGCTCTCGGTCGTTTCTCATCTTCACATAAATTCGCTCATCCAAACTGAGCCTGATGAGATCCAGGGGCTCCTCTACGGTATTGGTAGTCTGTTGCTGATGGAAGAAGCAGGCTTAAGTAATGGACTATCAGAGGCAGCATGGTGTTTCAATCACTGTTAAGCAGTGCAACCAAGGGCAAGTCACTTAACCTGTCTATACGTTAGTCTAATTCGCCAAATGCAGAAAATAGTGTTTCCATAATACTATTTATCAGGTTTAAATGACATATGAAAGCTTAGAATGGTGCCTTGATTCTATGTAAAAGAGGGCTAAAACATGTCTGAACTTCCACAAAATCCAAAGTGTTAGAGCACTACTTAGGGACCTTAGCTTTATCTTTTATACAATTTAATCATTTGAAAAAGACACCTGCCATACCTATTCACACACACTAATTAAAAGTCTGAAGTCAGCACAGGGCAGGTTGAGTTTAGGGTGCTGACTGGCCGGCAAGATGAACCTATCTAGTGAGTAGTATAGGACAGAGGCTGAAAGAATTGACATGGAGTCAGGCAGCCTGTGTTCAACTCCAGGTTCTGGACTGGCTCTTCTGAACTGGGATTAAAAATCATGTCATCTCTTGTTTCAGACTCCTCATTTGCAAACTGGGGAGGCAACATCTTTCCCTTGGAGATCTTATGAGGACTGAAGGGTCTATCTAAGTAAAAAGGAAATACTTATCAATGATTACCATCACTACTGTTTTGTTGTTTTCTGAAGAGATGTGCCCATGACAGCCTTTGACATGCAGCAAACTTCCTGTATCATTCTCCCAAATGTTGGGATTATAGCTGTGAGCCACTTCTGGATCTTTTAATTTTGTGTGTGTGTGTGTGTGTGTGTGTGTGTGTGTGTGTGTGTGATGGCATTCAAGTGGAGGTCAGAAAACAACTTTCTAAAGTTCTCTCCTTCCTCTGTGGGTTCCAGGGATTGAACTCAGGTTGTCAGGCTTGCAAAGTGCAGGCCCTTTCACCCGCTATCTTACCAGCCCCACTCCCAGCACCTATAATTCTTATATTTAATATCATATCTTGCTTGCTTCAAGATTTAAGAATGCTATTTTTCTTGGTCAGTCAGAATTACTCTTCAAGAACTGTTGGGACAGGTTTCAAAGGTTAGAGCTAGGATGACTTGGAGTCAGCTACGTGGAAGAGATGGTTCCAGCCATCAAGAGTTAGTAAAAATATTCAATAAGCTTCTCCAGTGAGTACCTGGGGTCAGTGAAATTTGACTGAAAATTGTAGGCTGTGTACATATAAGAGGCTGGATGACAGGAAACAAACAACGCCCCCTCCCCACCCCCTCTTCCCACCTTAGTTCAGCAGGCTTTTGTTAAGAACCCGACAACCAACCACTGGATTACAACCGTACACAAGTCACAGCCCCTTTAACGAAGCTCATTCTAGTATGGAGAAGGGCATATAAATACATAGCTGTAAAACAATGAAAAATCCCCATGACAGCTCTCTTCAGTCTAGGAACCCACTGTCAATCGTTTTCACCCTGTAACTTTAAATACTGATTTTTTTTTTTTTTTTTTTTGGTTTTTTCGAGACAGGGTTTCTCTGTGTAGCTTTGCGCCTTTCCTGGGACTCACTTGGTAGCCCAGGCTGGCCTCGAACTCACAGAGATCCGCCTGGCTCTGCCTCCCGAGTGCTGGGATTAAAGGCGTGCGCCACCACCGCCCGGCTAAATACTGATTTTTCAAAGAAGCTTCCCCTGAACACTGGGTTTATTCCATCAAATAAATACCTGCTGAGTGCTCCCAACACTGTCCTAAACCTAAGGAAAGAAAAGTAAAAACCCTTTTAAGGGTTTTATTTTTAGCTTATATGTGAGTGTTTTGCCTGTATGTATGTGCACCACATGCACACAGTGCTCTGTAGCAGAGGCCAGAAGGGGGCACTGGATCCTCCGCAACTGAAGTTAAGAAGCATTGTGGATGCTGGTAAGCCAACATAGGGATGCTGGTACCCAACCAGGTTCTTCCACAAAAACAACAAGTGCTCTTAACCCCTAAACCATCTCTCCAGCCTCCCAAAATCCCTATTAAGGAATTTCTATTTGTGAAAGTAACACATTAAATAAAGAAATACATATTTAAAATAACATGCTCTGAAAACAAACAGGTTAGTCCGTGTGTGTGTGGGGTGTGCGTGCATGTGAAGGAGTGCAAGTCATTTCGGTGGTCGGGGAACTCCACAGATACCTAAGGAACAGGAAAGAGCAGGTGAAGAGGCCTGTAGGCCCTTCTGTTATTCTGTGTACCCGATCTTGGCTTGTTTTCTTCGTACTACATCTCTACCAGTTTCTCTACCTCGTATAAAGTGCACCTTTTATCTGACCTCCCTCATAATACACTCCAAGTGAGCCACTGCCTGTGCACCAGGTATTTACACGTATTACTAAGCGGGTGTCCACTACTACATCACTCTTTCTGTCGGGCATCGACAGCCGTTTGCATTTTGCAGATAAAAGCCGACGACGACGAGCGTGATGGGTTCGAGCGTGATGGGAGCGAGGCGGGTTGAGAAAACTCTGGGCCTGCGGAAGTTTTAGGAGCTAGCGCAGCCACGGAAGGCCGTGGTTACTCGGAAAAAAGAAACAGGCCACTTCCCGGTGAGCGTGGAAAAAAGCGAACGGGGCCGGGAAGCTCAAGCGTTCCCTCTACGAGCGCCTCAGCACAAACTTACCTGATCTACGTCGTCCGCCATGTTTCAAACGCTGCGCCCTTTCCACCTCTCGCGAGAACAGGCACTCAGAAACGCAAGGCTTCCACTCGCTGGAAGTGGACCTACATTATTTTTGTCCCTCGGCGCCCCTGTAGTTTACATGGGGGCGGGGCTTCCTCGGAGGGCGTGGTCCAACCCTGCCAGGGGGCGCGGCCAGGCATGGCCCGCCTCGGGGCGGAGCGAGCACGCGGAGACAAGCTGCGGCCCACGGCGGTAGTCAGGAGTGACGCTCCCCGGCAGCATGGCTCGAAAGCACCCTGCAGGCAGGAGGCAGCGGGGGCGCGGCCCGGAAGCCAAGGACAACAAAGCAGCCCGGCCTGAGGAGAGCGAGGCAGGTGAGAGGCCGAGTCTGCGGCGTGCAAGGCGATGGTGGCGGAGGCTGGAGCGGGCGGTCAGGCGGATCTGCGTCTGCGGCAAGGTCTCCACGGCCGGATGCGCGGCGCCTGGAGGGCCTCTGCCGTCAGCCCTGACCCCGCTGTAACCCCTAGGGCCAAGTCCGGCCTCTTGGCAGGAGTTGAGGGCCGACCAGGAGAAAGTTTCGCAGTTGCCTAATGTCTCAGAGAGACACCAAAACTAGAACAGAGGGAGACCTTTTGGTGCGAGATCTCTCTCCAAGTTACATCTACTGTAACTCCCGCTCCAGGTTTGGGATATAAGCTTCTTACCTTGATCCTAGCAAAAGCTCCAGTTTCCCCTTTAAACATATCCTTTCCCCACTTGTCCCATCTTAATAAATCACCCCTTCACCCACCTGTTAAAACATGCCTTTTCTCTCTTTTTTTTTTTAAAAGACTTACTTATTATGTACACAGTGTTCTGCCTGCATGCCAGAAGAGGGCACCAGATCTCATAGGTAGTTGTGAACCACCATGTGGTTGCTGGGAATTGAACTCAGGACCTCTGGAAGAGCAGCCAGTTCTCTTAACCTTTAAGCCATCTCGGCAGCCCCCAAAACACGCCTTTTCTTAACTGCCAGTTCGTCAGCAAGTCCAATTCAGCTTCGGAGTCATGGGAATCTGTGCCTAACTCTCTTGATATCCTGCCCATGTCGTGTTTTAGTTGAGTGAGTGAAGTTGCCTCTTTTCTGACTTCCTCTCTGCATCAGATCTCCATCCAGCAGCCAGATGATGTAGAACAACCACAAAACCTCATCTGCCTCCATCTTCTTACTTAAAACCTTCTTAGGTTTATGCCCTCCGTATATAGATAGCATCTACCTCACTTAGCATGTCTCCTTTCCAGATATTCTTATTCTGACTTCCTCCTGTTTATTTTAAACAGCAGCCTGGCTTAGAGTTCTGGATCTTCCCGTCTCGTCCTCTTGACCACAGGAATTACAGATGCCACCATGCCTGGCTCTTAGTGACCACCTTTCTGTTCTTCAGATATACTGTTTATTTGTCTGGAGGCTTGGCCTTTGGTGTTTCTTTGGCTTAGAATGTTCATGGCTATTGCTGGGGCTAATTCCTTCTCTCTTGAGGTCTAAGATACTCCATGATCATCTTAAAGTAGTCATCCCTAGGTACCCTCTACCACAGAATCACACTTACTGTCCTGTTAACCTCTTATTCTACAGTGATCTTCATTTCTGATTGCTTGAGTAAAATGTAAGGGTCATAAAAACAAGGCTCATTTCCCTCCATATCCCATTCTGTTCTTCCTCTTGTTTTCATCCCTGAAAAAAAAAACATTTTACTTTATTATTATTTTTTTATTTTATGCGTATGTGTGTTTGCTTGCATGCATGTCTGTGCAGCATGTGTGGGCCATGCCTGCAGAGGCTAGATAGATGAGGGTTGGATCCCCCAGAAATGGGTTACAAAAAGTTGTGAGCTGTCATTTGGGTGTTGGGAATTGAGCTTGGATTCTCTTGGAGGGGCAGCAAGTGCTCTTAACTGCTGAGCCATCTTTTGTCCTGCAGAACCATTTTTAAGTATGCAAAATGCATGCTGCTAGAGAAGGGAATGCTCGACCTTCTAAAATAACTATATAGAAAACTTGACGCATTTAGTGTCCCTCACACCCACCCCGTGGCTCCTGCTACACTGGAATTGGATTGTGTACAGATTATAAATTCATTGTCTACTAGGAAATAGTAGTAGTTCCTAAACTTCAGAGGAGTTAGCTTACTCCACACTTATTCATTTACTCACGGAAGACGTTTCTTGAGTATCTGTTGTGTGGTGGTGTACTTCAGTTAGGTAGTTTCTGCACAGATTTGAAGAGCACTCCTGTGCACGCAAATGAAGACGAGGCTCGGCTCCTTTTGATAGTTGGGAATAAAGAACATCATCGCTCACCTTGTTGCCAAGCAGACTCCTCTTCATATCCCCCCCCCCCCCCCCGCCCCGTGTTAATGTCTTCATTGGGAAATTCATTAGTTTCTCTATTTGTTCACTGATTTCCAGCCACTGCTCTAAGTACTGGGAGTATACTAGTAAATGAAGTAGGCAAGGTAGGGACACTAAATGCGTCAAATGAAGTAGGACCCTGATATTCTTTGGGGAGGCAAATAAGGTCAACATAACAAGATTTAAAAGGAGAGAAAGAAGCCGGGCGGTGGTGGCACACGCCTTTAATCCCAGCACTCGGGAGGCAGAGCCAGGCGGATCTCTGTGAGTTCAAGGCCAGCCTGGGCTACCAAGTGAGTTCCAGGAGAGGCGCAAAGCTACACAGAGAAACCCTGTCTCGAAAAACCAAAAAAAAAAAAAAAAAAGGAGAGAAAGAAAGAAAAACAAATTCACATGGTGATGAGTAAGCACAGTTGCTCCAATCAGGCTGCCACAGGTCTAGGGAAGAGGCAGGATTAGTGTCCAGGTACTGTAGCAGTTACTGTGTGTGATTTTTGAGCTCTTCATAGGAAGTTCGGTGGTGAGTGCAAGGGGAAGGGGGGGGTGGGGGGTTCCTGTGCAAAGAAAACAGGATGCTTAAAGACTCTTGGCTAGACACAGTCTGAAGAGGTGAGTGGTGGAAACTGAGGTTACCGAAAGGGCAAGGACCTCAGTCTGAAGATCAAGCTAAGGAATTTGAATTCATCCTAAGTGCCTTGGGGAGTTCTGAGAAAGTGCACGCACATGCCCTTAAGTCCCAGTAGCTGGATAAGGAAGCCACAGTGGTGATTCTTGAACTGCTGAAATGACATTGAGCTCAAGGAGACTGAGTAGGTATGCTGGCTAGCTCTTAATTTTGGAAACTTTCTGGAGATGTGTTGAGAGGCTTCCCTACTCCCTGGCATCCTGCAAAAAATAAACAGCGGCCAGGCGTTGGTGGCGCACGCCTTTAATCCCAGCACTCAGAGGCAGAGCCAGGTGGATCTCTGTGAGTTCGAGGCCAGCCTGGGCTACCAAGTGAGTTCCAGGAAAGGCGCAAAGCTACACAGAGAAACGCTGTCTCGAAAAAAACCAGCAAAGATGACCAAAACGCCACCTGTTTCTGTCCTCTCGAGTTTACCTCTGCCAAGTGCTGGGCCATCTCCTTGCCGTCTGTGCCTTTTCACACTCAGCCAAAACATTTCATGCTGAACATCATATTATGTCATTTTTCCTTTGTCTTAAAAATGATTTAATTAAACCAGGCATGGCGGTGCTCCTTTAATCCAGCACTCAGGAGGCAGAGGCAGGCGGATCTCTGTGAGCTTGAGGCCAGCCTGGTCTACAGAGTGAGTTCCAAGCCAGTCAGGGCTATATAGTGAGACCCTGCCTTAGCGACAACAACAAAAAGTTATATCTCATAGGGTGATTTAATCACTTCATGGTAGGATATTCAGGGTGTTTTGGTTTGGTTGGTTTATTTTTTGAGACAGGTTCTTGCTTTGTAGCCCAGGCTAGCCTATGACTTTTGCAATCATTCTTCTTTGTTCTCCTAGTGCTTGGATCACAGGTAATACCACCCTGCTCCCCTGGACATTCAGAGTTTGGGGAGATTTGATACTGTAAATGTCCTGGATAGTTTCATGTCAGATTGACACAAGCTAAAGTCATCAGAGAGGAGGGAACCTCAATTTAGAAAATGCCTCCATTAGATCCAGTTGTAGGCAGACCTGTAAGGCATTTCCTTAATTAGGTGAGAGGGCCTAGCCCATTGTGGGTGGTGCCATCCTTGGGCCAGTGGTCCTTGGCTAAGAAAGCAGGCTGACCAAGCCATGGGGAGTAAGCCAGTAAGTAGCACATCTCCCCTCCCCCGCATGGCCTCTGCATCAGCTCCTGCCTCCAGGTGTGTGCTTTTCTAGACTATGGCAGAAACAGAATAGCAAAAGTAAGGTGCAAAGAGGTTTGTGAACTGCAAGTGTCTCACCTGAGAGTGGTCGATTCTAATAGGTCTTGGCAGGTGGTCGGCGAGCAAGGTGTCGTGAGTGGATTTGAGTCTTTTCCCTTACATTTCCTTTGAGATTGGAGTTTAGAGTTTTAGTCATAGGGTGGTTTCTGTTTTAGGAGAAGTAGAAGAAGAGTCTTCTGGTAGTGTAGCTTGGTGGTAGCGCTTCCCTACCATACATGGGGCTCTGCATTTGCTTCGTGGTTTTTATTGTGACCATAGAGAAAGCTTCAGGTGAAAGGCTGAGCGGTATATGCTTCCTAGACACAGGATGGGTGACAGAGATGTGGTTGTGGGGACCCTTGCCTGTCAGTCACACTGCCTCCACCTTCCCAACTGACTCCCCGTCACCTCTTGCTCTGTGCTGTTACTAGATGACTTTGAAGATGAGAAACAGAAACCCCCAAAGAAGTGCTTCCCCTCCAGAGTGTCCCGCGGGAAGAGGAAGAGAGGCTGCAGTGATCCAGGAGACCCCACAGATGGTGCAGCAAAAAAGAAAGTGGCCAAAGCCACTGCCAAATCCAAGAATCTCAAGGCCCCGAAGGAGGAAGCCCTCAGCGATGGGGACGATTTCAGGTGAGCTGACCACGCACAAACCCTGTGACAGATGTTCCCATCAGAGAAGCGAGGATAATGGCAGTCATGGGGGATGTGGGAAGACGGAGGGTCTTTAAGCATTTCCAGCTAGAGCCAGGCCAGCAGGAACTGGAGACCTCAGAGTTTTCTGGTGAGTTCATTGGCAGCTCACAGATAGTGATTTATTCCTGGTTACACAGCTAGCTAGTAGCACACTCAGGAGCAGAATTCAGGGCTCCTGATTCTTGGTCCAGTGTGCTTTCAACTTCACAGATACTCAACAGAGAGGCAAGAGACTTCCTGCCACCCCACAATGTTTGGCACTGGCATCTGCCTCCCAGCTGGACTTTGAGCGTTCACTGGGCACATTCTTGTCCCCCGCTGCCCTTCTCAGTTTTATTTATTTTTTATTTTTTTCCTAGTTTGGGGGCTCAGACCCGGGCCCTCCCTGAGCTCCACCTCCAGGCCCTTCCCCATGTTGCACTCTTGTTTCCCTTCCACCTGGAGCCCTTCTTTCCTTCTCACGCTTGTCTGAAGCCATCAGCTCTGGTTCTCACAAGTCTTGGTCTTTTCTGCTCCCGTGTCCTGCTGCTGCTGCTGAAGAGTGCGCTGTGTCTGCCAGATGACAGTTACTTACAACAATGCAGTGTGCTCAGGTTTGCTACCCTCTAGGGTGATCACACCTCTCCTGTCTCGTCTAGAACTGTGAGCTTCATTTGTGTTCACGGGGCCTGTGGCATCTAGGCCTGGGCCTGTAGTTTGCCAGATGCTGAATGCCTTTGTAGTAGGTGAATATTCTTATTTCAGTATGAGGGACAGTGAACATTAGACTAGTTCAGGATCCAGCCTAAGCAAGCTGGAGGGTGGATGAATAGAGGGAAACTGGTAAGGGTTCTTTTGCCTCTAAATAAATCCAACCTGCTGTTGATGATGGGAGAATAATCCAGCAGAGGGCAGTAGTGGGTCAGGGGGAAGAGCCAGGGGAAGCAGGCACTTTCTCCACCATGGTTCATATGCTTCCTGGTTGCCCCCCTCAGTTGTTGAATTCCATCTCTGGGAATGTCCACACAAAGACAGGTCCAGAGCTGCCAAGGAAGACTCTGGATCCCCTTTCCTCTCACCTGAGGGTTGACTGGTTCAACCTGTACTTTAGAAGTTTAGTAGTTTGCTACTTTTTCTTGATGTCATGGCAACAAAATTTCCCCCATGTCAAATAGTAGAAAACAAAACCAAAAATGTTACTGGAGCTCAAGACAGAGACCATTTTAAGTGTCTGTGCTAAAATCTTGACTGTTTCCTCTTGATTCGAAGTATCATAATGTTTATGGGAGCCAAAAGTAACCCAGAACTGTAGCTGGGATTTATATATGAATTTGCAGAAGTATGTCAACATTCTGGCAACTGTTTACCTTGCACGGCACTGTCTAGCCAGCTGCTTCTCTGTATGGTTTCCCTACTAGCAGCTGCCCAGCCTGGTCCTGGTTGTGGTTCCATGGGTGATCACACCGTGCTTGTCCTGTTGGAGTTGTACCAGCCTCAGTGTCTTGGGCTACGTTTCCTAATGGGAGAAAAGCATTCTCTGAGTTGTTGACAGGCGGCCGGGCTGATGGGAAGCTCTTCTGGCCTCCAGCTATGTGCCTGTGTGCACAGTTACCTTGCTTTCTGAGACTCCTGCGACTGTGTGACTTCTTTCATTTTGCCCTCACCATTTCAAAAGGCACAGCAGTTTCTTTCCCACATGGATTGTGAGTTAATAAGTTGGGGTTTGTTTTAAGAACCAAAGGTCTGGCTTTGTAGCAGGGTCACCTTATACTTGAGCTCTTCCCACCTCCTGTCTTTAGACGTTGAGAGCCGGCTGTCTGTCATCTTCACGGGTATGATGGCAGCAGTCAACAGGAGAAGAAATCCTGTAGGTTCTGCTTAGCCCCAGTGTGACACTAGGGTATGTGAGCCTTCTGCACCTTTGATCCGTACACAGGGACTCTCCAGGCGACTGCAAGAAGGCAAAGAAACATGCAAAGACAGAGGTGGTGGACAAAGGCAGTGATGAAGACGAGGACAGTGAGGATGACTGGGAGGAGGTGGAAGGTAATGTGTCTGTCCTGTGTTCCAAACTGTTTGATTCTGTTTGCCAAGTCATGCTGCAATCTTGTTGTTTTTCTTTGAAACAAAGACAAGAAATACAGTTGCAGTGGGGACTTCTTTTAAGTGATGAAATTCCATTGGTTCCAGAGAAGCTTGTATGTTTTTTTCCTCCAGTGGCTTTTGGTGAGGAAACTGTAAACAGAGGCAGTGCTGGAGGAAGAGTGCTGCTGGAGGAGCTGCACAGTCCTGACTCCAGCCCAGCGCTGTCCCACATAGCTGTGTGAGCAAGTTCTCTGCTTGTCTGAGGCGGGTTTCTTCTCTGGCAGCATTCTGTAACTGTATGGGACTGTGAATCCCGTCAGGCTGCAGGTGCCGTAGACCTGAGCCCCAAGTCCACACCATGAGAGTGGTAGCTAATGTTAATTCCCGATTCCTTCTGTGGGGCATGCCCACCCCCTCAGCATTTTATTTTGACAAGGTTCAAATCTTCAAGAAGTGAGAGTAGTCTGTATACCTGATCCTTTATATTTATGTGCCTTTCTCTCTGTAGCTATTTGAAAAGGAGTTTCAGCCATCCGGCAGCATTCTTTTCCCAAGAAAATAGCACTGTCTTATCTGGCAGAGCAACCTCATCACACCCAAAACCGCAAAAAACGACCCTCCGTTGTTATAAAAATGCCTTCATAGCTCTGTTGTTTTCTTCTAATCCAGGTCCAGATTAGAAATTATGAGTTTGTAGTTTTTTGTTTTGCTTTTTTTTTTTTTTTTTTTTTTTTTTTGGTTTTTCAAGACAGGGTTTCTCTGTGTAGCTTTGCGCCTTTCCTGGAACTCGCTTGGTAGCCCAGGCTGGCCTCGAACTCACAGAGATCCACCTGGCTCTGCCTCCCGAGTGCTGGGATTAAAGGCGTGTGCCACCACCGCCCGGCTTGTTTTGCTTTTTAATCTAAAGCTCCCACCATGTACTACCTTTATTAATTACTTCTGGTGCTGGGGACTGAGTTTATAGGTTTTTGTTTTTTAATCTAAAGCTCCCACCATGTACTACCTTTATTAATTAGTTCTGGTGCTGGGGATTAAACCTATAGCCTTAGGAATACTAGGAAGGTGTTCTGCCACAGAACTACCACTCCTATCCTTTGGTTTTTTTGGTTTTTGTTTTTAAAGTGTGTGTGTGTGTGTGTGTGTGGTGTGTGTGTGTGTGTAGATTAGAGGACAACTCTCAAGAGTTCTTTTCTGCCACCTTGTGGGTCCAGCCCAAAGTCAGGGCATCAGGATGCACACCATCTTGGCAGCTCCAGCCCTTGTTCTTTTCAGGGCTATTGACTTGCTATTTAGTCCAGGCTGACGTGGGATGTAGGACCTCTGGTCTCAGCCTGCTGAGTGCTGGGATTACAGATGTGTGCCGCCGTACTTGGCATTTTCTTTTTCCTTCTTTCTTCTTTGGCTTTGTAGAGCAATGCCTGCTTTGAAAAGTCCTGGCCTCTTGCTTTTTAGAATATTCTGGTTTTGTCAGATAAACAATCAGGCAGCTCGGGCTTCCCTGTCTATTCCTGATTTTGTTTATCCCGGCAGAACCCTGCTATTGTTCCGTGTATTAGCTATTAATGTTATTTACTTTAATTTATGTGTATAAGTATTTTGCCTGCATATATGTCTGTGCACCATGTGCCTGCTGCCCGTGGAAGCCAGAAGAGAGTATTGAATCCCCTGGTGGGTGCTGGGACTTGAACCCAAGTCTTCAGTACTCTAAACCACTGAGCCATCTCTCCAGCCCCAATTATTATTATTAACTTTTAAAATTACTGTTGATAGAACTTACCGAGCCTATGCTGGACATGGGAGAAGATTCTACCACCTCACAGTCTGTCCTGCCTGTGAAGGCTGTGGAAATAGAAATTGAAACACCGGAGCAGGCGAAGGCACGGAAGAGAAGGTAGGCGGGGCCCTGCTTCTGTGTTCCTGTCCTGATAAAATAGGCAGCAGATACACAGAGAAAAGCCTTGGTATGTCAGGAGTGGTCTGACGCCCCAGGGGAGAGCCTGGGTTTGCCTGTAGGACTGAAAGGGGACACCTGGTGTCATGTGTGGGTGGGAGGTGAGGTGTGTGCCAAGGACTGGGCACTTGGTTCATCTCTTAGTTCACCTGCCCCTTGGAGCAGGATCGTAAGGGAGAGGCTCAGAGAGCTTAAGTGGCAGTCCAGGAGCCGCTTAGCCAGTGAGTGGAGGATCCAAGACCTGAATCCTTACTGGCTGACATGGCACGCACACTTTCCCTACCACATATCACTGCAAGACTTGAGATGGTACCCACTGTGGAAGGAGCACCCACCCTTCCCAGGGTGCCCAGTTCCTCTGTAGCCTCTGATGGCCTAGGAAAATGGAACGTACAAGCTAGCTAATGAGGTCTACTCTGATGGAGTAGACCTCATGTTATTAGGCAGGGAGGAGGGGGACATGGTGTCTTTCAGGAAGTGCAAGGTTTTCCTGCAGGTTGATGGGCCATGGGTGAAAGATTTTGCAGAACAGTCATGTAAATGCCTTCTTTAATTTAGCATCAGTGTGGTGGTTTGAGGAGAAAGTCAGGATTCTGAAAGAAGGGAACTTGAGGCCGGTGGGTGAGGCATAGAATGCTGGGAGGGCTGCACGGTGTCTAAGAGAGGGTCTAAGGATGGAACTGCTGCGTCCAGGGCTGCACGGTGTCCTGTGAGCAATTTGTAGGTGGGAAGTGTTGCATCCAGCATGGCTCCAGGGACAGACCAGACTGGGGCAAAGACAGACATGTGGACAAAAAGCTGGTCCGGTGGTCTAGGATCTTGGACAGAGAAACCTCAATCCTCCAGAAGCTCAGTGTGTTTATTATGTAGTTGAACAGGGAGACAGGGTTATTACATGGAGATAAACAAGGAGGCAGGGTTTATAGTGTGCAGCTGGATCAAGGGAGCAGGTTTAGGTCATCTCAGTAGGAGATGTCTCTGTAGGGGAACAGTCTTCAGGCTATAAACATGGTGGGAAGCTAGGTGGACATTTCCTGCATACACTATTAACATCCATAGGAAGACGGATGTTACATAATACCCTGAGGAAGGTAAAGCCTTTGCCATTACTTTGAGTCTCATGGGCAAGAGGTGGCTTTGCCATTTTCCCATGAGTCCGAGGCTATGGGATCCTTGACTTGGCCATGCCCATATCAACAACACACATTCACTCAGGACAGCACTCACTCAGGGCTTCCTCCTCTCCTCATAGAGAAGGAGCAGATGGTGCCACTTGCTGATTTGACTGAGTGGGACAGCCTTGTATAGGAAGTGGGGCAAGTGACTCCCATGCCATGGTGAGGAGTTGGGGTTCCTGCTTCAGTCTTGGGTCTCTTGCTGTGTTTCAGTGAGAAGATAAAGATGGAGCTTGAGACGTACCTCCGGAGGATGATGAAGCGCTTCAATAAAGAAGTTCAGGAGAACATGCACAAGGTGATGGCGAGGAGGGCTAGGAAGAGCGGGCCAGAGGTGACAGGCCCGAGTGAAGTTAGGTGCCATCCTGGAGGCCGGGCTTACAAGTGGATAAGTGGAGTTTCTTTCACCGTGGTGTGGAGAAGAAAGATGTGCTGAGGGAAGGAGGTGGGAGAGAGTAGACAGACCGCCTTGGTGTCATTGCAGTAGGTTGGTGAAGGGTGCGGTTGAGGCTGGAGGGCAAGAGTTAAGGTGGGGTGCCTAGCAGTGGAGGGTGGCTTCAGATGAGCAGGGTGAGTGGAAAACAGTCAGAGAGATTCTTGCCTGGCCTCCAGTTGGTGCTCTGAGCCTGTGTCTCCGACCTTTCCCTGCTGACCTCACAGCAGCAGACCCAGGTGGTTGACGCTTCACCTGAAAATCCTGTAGTGTGTCTGTGAAAGGAATTGCTGCTGAGAGGAAAGGTTATTATTTTGAGCTGATGAATTCTTTAAGGGAGTAAGAAGAGAGTGAGACACAAAGCCTTGGGATAAGGCTGACGAAGCCTTTGTACTGTGTGTAGAAGCATAGCCAAGGTTTCCTGTCCACCAAACATAAGGTCCCTGATGTCTTCATCTCTCTCTCCATGCTGGCTTCTTCCCCCCACTCCACAGGTTCACCTGCTGTGCCTGCTGGCCAGTGGCTTCTATCGAAACAGCATCTGCCGCCAGCCAGATCTGCTGGCCATTGGCCTCTCCATCATCCCAACTCGCTTTACCAAGGTGCCACTTCAAAACAGGGACATCTGCTTCCTCTCAAACTTGGTGAAGTGGTAAGGCCATCTTCTGTCCTCCAGAGCTGGGATATAGGGTTGGGTTTCTTTTGGGCTGGTTCAGGCCAGTTCTGTAGTGGTCAGTTGGCATCAGGAAGGGGCATGGCATTGAGGAGAGGAAGCATTGGGATGATCCTGGTCCTAGAAGAAAGCCTGGGCTGGCAGGAGTCTCATGTGCACTGCATACTTAGGCTACTATGAGGGGTTCTGAGACAGAGGAATGCAGGAAACAGGGTGCTTCCCTCGAGTGGGCAGTCTGGAAAGGGTGCCCAAGGAGGTGGCAACTGAGTTGGGTCTTCAGTGATGGTCAGCGTTAGCTAGCCGGGCTGAGAAGAGCCAGTGCAGGTAGGTGAGTCTAAGAGTCACTTGCTGTTGGTTTCATTGGCTGTAAAAGACTAGAACTTCTTCTTCACCTTGACCACTATGTAGAGGAGTACCTGGTCTCTCCCCAGGTTCATTGGAACCTTCACGTTCAATGCGGACCTTTCAGCCAGTGAGCAGGACAGCCTGCAGACAACCTTGGAGAGAAGAATCGCCATTTACTCTGCAAGGGATGATGAGGAGTTGGTCCATGTAAGTGGTTCCTCTAGTGGCACTGCTCATTAACGGGAATGAAATATGATGTCATCCTTAGAGGATGCCTGTTACCTGCACAGAGATCGGACTTTGCATTTGCATGTCTGGCCAAATGCCTGGCTTCTTTAGACTTGCTGAGATTTGGCTCTGAAGAATGTAATATGTCAGGTACTGTCATAGTCATTATCTTCTCTCATCAGCTGTTAGAGCTGTGGGCAAGGAGAAGCAGGGGTTGCCTCTAGTGAAAAAGCCTGTGTGGGGACACCACTCAGCTAGTGGCAGTGCTACTTCATTTCAGTGCTATCTAAGGAACTAAGAAGCTACCTCTGGTGCAGTGCTACCAGCCAGACTACAGACTACCGCCTTTTCCTGTTCCAGGACACCACGCTGCACTGAGTTATTGAGTCCCTCAGTTTCTTCTGGATTGTGATGGTTTCCTGGCTTTTCTCTGTCCTCGTGAGCTTCACAATTTTACAGGGAGATGCCAGGGATCAGAGCCAGGAACTTGAGGGTGGCAAGCATGCTCTACTGTTGAACTGCTTCCCTTGGCTCTTGCTTAATTCAGACAGGGTCTCTTAGGTAGCTCAAGCTAGCCCAGAATCATGACTTCTGCCTTGGCCTCCTGGGTGCTGGGATTAGGGACGTGTGCCACCACTATATGACTGCTGCCTTACTTGTTGCTTTCTAAACATCCAGATAAAGGAAGTCACAGGTAACAGCTTTTCCATGGTCACGTGGCTTCTGAGATGGCCTACCTTCCTATGTTTGGTCTTCACCTCTGACTTTCTCTCCACGGTGTTGTAGCAACTGATGAGAGTGGTCAGGAGCTAGTGTGGGGATCTGGGGGAGACCTTGCTGCAATATGTTATTGCTATCACCATGAGACTTATCCCTGAGGGAGCAGCTCCCATCCTCACAGGTCAGTAACTCAGAGCTGTGGCCTCCAGGTAAAAGATTCAGTGTGGGGAGTGGAAAATAGAAAGCACACATGTGACCTGGCGACATCTGTATTTCCATGTTTTCTTCCCTATTTCATTTTATTTTCTTTTAATCACACACATAATACTTGTTGACTACAAGGCCAATCAAAGGATAGGTAAGCAGGAAGAGACTGACAACCTGTAGCTAGTTATAAGTGCTATTAACTAAGCAGATAGTCCTTATATTTACATGTCATCCTTCTTAGGAACATATGGTGACTTTTCCCGTGAGCTGAGTCTCTGCATTGTCATTTACAGCAGTGTCTGGAGGGCTGGTGTCCTGTGCTGGGGTGGTTTCCACCCTCTCCTGTCTAAGCAGCAGCGTACATTGGGTTAGCTTCCTCATACTGTCCAGTTAAATATATCCCCTCTTGTCATTGTAGATATTTCTTCTGATTCTTCGGGCTCTGCAGCTGCTCACCCGACTGGTGTTGTCTCTACAGCCCGTCCCACTGAAGTCATCTGTGACAAAGGTGAAGTCCTTGGGCATCTAGAGAAAAGGAGTTGCCACCAGAGAAGAGTGAGGAAATCGCACATTTAAAAGAAAATTGGCCACTATCATTTTTTACGTATTTATCTTACGTTTGTGTGTTTATATATCATAATAGCTATGGAGATCAGAGGACAACTTGCGGAAGTTGACTCTTTGCTTCTACCGTGTGAGTCCCAGGGATTGAACTCAGGTTGTCAAGCTTGGCAGCAGGTGCCTTTACTCACTGAACTATTTTGCCAGCCTAACGATGTCATATTTTTAAGAGTTGGTGTTCTTGAAGACTGGGCCCCTCTGAGCCTGTGTTAAAGGAGATGGACACACAAGTGGGTGTTTAGCACCCTGAGCTTGGTGTGCACTGAGTCATCTGAGAGAGGACTGGTTTTCAAGCTGTTGTTTCTAGCCTGTGAGCCAAGTAGAGAGTCACCAAGTTAGCATAGTCGAGAGCTGATGGGTAAAGGACTCTGCATTTTTACATGTATGAGGAAGGATGTCAGTGCTGCCCAACTGGGGTGTCATGTCATCTGGTGTCTGCAATAATGGACGTTGATTGTCATAAGTTAGCTAAACTATGGAACAAATAAGACAGAACAGCAAAATTAATATATCTTTCCCTTCTTCTCTCTTCCCGCTCTGCTTTTTGAGAGAAAGTTTCATATGGCTCAGATTTGCCTCAGACTCACTGGAGTTGAGGATGACCTTGAACTCCTGGTTATCCTGCCTCTACCTCCCAAGTATTGAAATTACAGGCACACAGCATGACACCCAAGAGTACCAAAATTTCTTACTGTTTCAGGGGAAGAAGTCTTCCATGGGGACATCCTTAGAGAGTCCTGGAGGCTCTTCAGATCCTTCCAGTAATGTTCCAGAAAGCCCCAAGAGGCCCAAGACCAGCAGAAGAATCAAAGAAGAGGACGCCTCTTCTGAGTGCCGTGCAAAGGCAGATGGCCGAGGGAAGAGAAGCAAGGCCACTGCGGGCAGTGGGCAGCGGAGAAAGCCCTCCTGCAGCGAGGGAGAGGAAGCCAAGCCGAAAACCCAAAGCCGTGCACGGGCCCGGCAGCAGCGGGTGGCTGCCAAGGTGTCCTACAAAGAGGAGAGTGGGAGCGATGAGGCAGGCAGCGGCTCTGACTTTGAACTCTCCAGTGGAGAGGGCCGGAATTCCTCTGATGAGGATTGTGAGCCCGGCCCTCGAAAGCAGAAGAGGACTCCAGGTCCTCAGAGGACAAAGACCAGGTCTAAGAGTGCCACCAAGACCCAGTGTGAGCCGCCAAGCTTTCCAGCAGCATCTTCAAGCTCTTCAGGCAGTAAGAGAGGCAGGAAGGTTTCCAGTGGTGGAGAAGAGACAGGAGCTAGGAAAGCTGCTGGTGTAGACCAGTGGTTGGAGGTGTTCTGTGAGTCGCAGGCCAAGTGGGTGTGTGTGGACTTTGTGCATGGTGTGGTGGGCCAGCCTCTGACCTGTTACAAATATGCCACCAAACCCATGACCTATGTCATAGGCATTGACAATGATGGCTGGGTCCGAGATGTCACTCAGAGGTATGACCCAGCCTGGATGACCACAACCCGAAAGTTACGGGTTGACGCTGAGTGGTGGGCTGAGACCTTGAGACCCTATCAGAGTCCGCTTACGGAGAGGGAGAAGAAGGAAGACCAGGAGGTAAGACACTGGCCACCCAGGCGCAACACTGGGCAGCAATCAAACTGTCCTTTTCTGCTCACGACTATGCCCAGCAGTATGTTGATATTTTAGTGTGGCTTAATTATGTATTTCTGAAGATATTTATATTAGCCATAGAAATAGATGCTTTTCTATTGTTTGTCTATATTTAATTATCACACTAACATTTGGCTTACACATCCCCATCATAGTCTGTCCTTGAGGGCAGGAACTCAAGCAGGAGTTGAGACAGGAACCATGGAGGAAAACTGCTTACTGACTTGCTCTCCACGCTCACCTGCTGTGATGTTGCTGCCACAGTTTTATTGGTAAAAGGCTTCAAGAGCCAAGTGATCAAGTGGTTAGGCTTTGAACTCAGGGCTGTGTGAAGTCTGCATTCTTTAGTTCTTAGCCTATTAGTATTTTGGAGCTTGAAGGTACTTTACAAGCTCTGTGATCTCACTGAGGGAGAAAGGATAACTCATCTGTGTGTGGCCGCCCCTCTTCCACGTGCACAGACAGCTCAAATACACCTCACACCTGTAGAGCATGTCTTCTGGGAAGGGAGGGACTTAGAACACAGAACTCTCTTTAGCCAACCAAGAAGTAGGCAAAGTAGATGCCTTCCAGAAGCAGGGATTTCTCCAATGTAACACAGCTGTGTCAAGAATGAACCCTGGCAGCAGGGAAAGGGTCCAAGGTGCTCGTGTACAGCAGCCCCGTGTTGGGTGGAACTCTGCATGAGAACTCGTCTACACTGGCCAGAGGTTGATTTGCATCCACTCAGGATAGGAAAGACATGGGGTTGTGTAGCATCGCCTTAGGGAGTATGCTGCAGCCCATATGGAGTTGCCTGTTCAGTGCTGACAGGCTAAATGGGACTGCAGGTAGCACTGTACCGGACTGAAGCCTCAGGACGCCCAGTCAGCAGACTCTCCACCTTAATTGCTCTGTGGTTGGTCTAGTTTGCTTTCTGTTGCTATGATAACACTGACCAAAACCAATGTAGGGGAGAAGGGGTTTATTTGGTTTACATGCCCTTATCACAGTCCGTCCTTGAGGGCAGGAACTTAAGCAGGAACAGAGACAGGAACCATGGAGGAAGCTGCTTACTGACTTGCTCCATGCTCACATTCAGCTAGCTTTCTGCCTTCCAGGACCACCTGCTCAGGGGTGGCACTTCCCACAGTGGGCTGGGCCTCCTCCATCAATCAGCAATCAAGAAAATGTACCATAGACAAGCCCATAGGCCAATCTGATAGAGGCAATTCCTCAATTGAAATTCCCTCTTCCCAGACATGTCTAGGCTTGTGTCAAGTTGGCAAACACACACACACAAAATAAAACCCCAAAAAAACAAAAAACCAACCAACACAGTGGTGCCAGTCTGTAGGAGTTCCTTGGTGTTTTGAAGGGAAGCCAAGAGAAAGCTTAAGCCAGCTTGGGAAACAGCATTTGATTCATAGCAATGGGATTTCCTACTAATAACAGAATTCTTAGTGAAGTACAAGACTTGTGTGGATCTCAGAAAAGCTGCAGGGTGGTTGCTGTAAACCTGTTGAGCCTGCTTTTGCTATAAGGTGACAATATCACTGCGGTCAGGCCTTATGGTAGAGAAGTTGGCATCTTCTCCCATGAAGATCTGTAGCAGAGTGGGCTAAGGCTTAGGGTGTCTAAAGATTGGAGACACGTGCCTTTCTGATGCTGGTGCACATCACAGCTACTAGTGCTTCCTGGCTTTGGGTTGATCCTTGGCGCACCTCATGGCCACAGTGACTGGCAATGTCACCAAGTCACTAATGGGTCTGGACCCCACGGTTTGTTGTCAGAACAGGTTCGTGTATAGCAGCCCACTCATACCCCCTTCCTCATCTAGGTGCATGCTCACCACTGTCTGTCTGTCTGGCCTTTGCAGTTTCAGGCGAAGCACCTGGATAAGCCTTTGCCCACCTCCATCGGGACATATAAGAACCACCCCCTCTATGCCCTGAAGCGCCACCTCTTGAAATTCCAGGCCATCTACCCTGAGACAGCTGCAGTCCTTGGATATTGCCGTGGAGAAGCTGTCTACTCCAGGTGTGTGAAGAATCCTCCTTGTCCTCCTGGTGGCCTAGGACTAGCACCTGGTGCATAGGCACCTCTGTTAACAGTAATCTCAGCAGGGGTGAGCCACGGTATGTGTGTACTGTGAAGGAGAGATCAAAACATGTATAAAACACCAAGAGCAAAAAGCTACAGGGAAAATTATATAAACGTGGGACAGTTGAAGTACAAGACCATAGAAGTGTTCCTCAAAGCCGAGAAAGGAAGTTGTCGAGGGTACACTCACAGGTGTGCCAAACCCTGTCCGTAATAAACAAGTTGGGAAATGGATACTGGCAGTGGCCACACAACAGTAAGTGTGCCTGGTGTTGCTGAGCTCTTCTCAAGAGTGGCTGAAATGTGCTCTGTGTATGCTCGTGCACTGCGGGCAAAAGAAGTCACCAAAAAAGTACTATAAATAAAAAACGAATGTGCGATGTTTACAGAGGGAAAACTGAAGAAAGATGATAGCATTTAGAGCTGAGAGGGAAACCAGACGCAGAGATTTTGAGCAGTAGCAGTAGAAAACAAGTAAAAGAAGGGATTTTTAAAAACATTGATGTGTAAGGACCAAAGGGCTGCTTTAAATAAATGGGGAGCGAGAGGCACAGAAAAGAGCTGTAGAGCCCCAGCACAAGGGTGAGTGTGGGAACAGGTCCTGCTTTGAACCCTGGTGGGGAGTCCCACCAGACCTTTACCCTTGAGTCATCTTGCTGGCCTCTCTGTCCTTAAAACTGAGTGTATTCCCTGCCTGAGAGGCCACATTTTGTTTACTCATGTGAGTGGACACTCAGGCCCCCCTTTTGGCTCTTGGGAGCGATGCTGCTATGTGTGTTAGTTGTGTCCATGCTTTGCATACTACAGAAAGTTTGGGGGGAGTGGCTGAACTGTTTCCTCAGTGGCCACACCTTTTACCTTCCCCCAGCAGTGCACAATGGTGCCAGTCACTGTCCTCAGCAGAAGTACTGGTAACAGCCGTTCCAGTGGTTGGGAGCTGCCATTCATTCTGAGAGTGCTGTGTGCACTTTCTGGCTGTGTTTCTTAGGGGTATCCATGGGATGCCTACCCATCAGCCTCTCTGCCTGTGCCTTGTCTGTTCCTGTCTGAAGTCCTGTGAGCAGTCAAAGATGATCTGGCTGCAGTGGGAGTGCAGGGTGGAGCCTCTGTCCTAACAGAGAAGTGCTACCTCACCAGCGGCCATGTGAGGTAGAGGATGAGTGCCTCTCCTGGCTGATGGACAAGGCTGCTGAGGCTTAGGGAGGTGTAAAGGGACTGGTGCAGGCCTGCCAGCTTTCAGTTGAGTCCCCACGCTGGGCTGGGCTGCACTGTGTGTGTCTGCAGGTTCGTAAACAGCAGTAGGAAGCACGTGGACAAAGCTCAGGCTGTGTGCAGACCCGATGCCCTGCTTGTAGGAGCCCTGTCTTCAACAGGCTAGGGGTACAAGCTGAAGAGGTGCTGGGCCTGTCTGTTGAAGAAGGCTTGGCAATGGAGGGTTGTAGGCCTGTGGTGCGGCTCTGAGCTCGGGGACGGTGAAACAGTGACTCCGCCCTAAGCACAGGCCCTGAGTCATTTGTTGCTTGTGTATGCATCTTCCTCCACCCCAGTCTGTTTGCTTCTTCAGGTATTTCCCAGAGTCCTCTTCTGAGTTTACCACACATTCACATGGCCCCATGTTGTGGAACAGTGGTCAGACTCTCAGCAGTTACTCCTTGGGGAGTGCGGCCACCTGCTCGTGCTGGCTTTCAGTTCATCCCACAGGCCACAGAGAGAGCTCAAACCTAGGCTCGTAATGGCAGTCCTGGGAAACGGCAGCCAAAGCTAGGTACAAAGCCTCAGGAAGGAAGCTCCAGCTGGGTAAGGGTCGCAGGTGGACACAGGCAGTCTGAGGGTGAGGCTGTTTGCACTGTGTGGTACAGGAAGAGCAAAGAGCAGGGCCTGCTCCAGGTGTGAGGTAAAGCCCGGGAGGAGAATTAGCAAGGCTGTGCCCACATCAGCTACATACCAGCTCGGGTGAGGCCCGCGGTCCTGCATCCTTACAGTGCACTGAGTGTGTCCTTTGTCTCCCCTCAGGGACTGTGTGCATACTCTGCACTCCAGGGACACATGGCTGAAGCAAGCAAGAGTGGTACGGCTTGGAGAAGTGCCCTACAAGGTGAGAGTGAGCCGCCCGCAGGGCTGGGGAGACTTGCTGGCAGCCGGAAGTAGCCTTTTCTTTGCCTTGAGCAGGGTTGAGGACATCCGCATTTAAATTATGTATTAGTAAGGCATATATAGGAAATAGGTTTTCCAGGTAAGAACTGTAGGCCGGAAGGTAGCCCAGAGACACATGCTGTGAGCTTGAAGGCCAGCAGGTTAAAGCTGGGTTGCTGGGTTATTCTGAGGTCCAAGCCCTGCTTCATGGAGAGACCTACTAGCTGGTTGCCCTGCATGACAGTTTACCAAGCATTTTGCTTATATGTGATCTGTTGCATTCCGGTGACCTTAGGGATCATGTGTGATTTGTTGCATTCCAGTGACCCTAGGGATCACATGTGATCTGATACATTCCAGTGACCCTAGGGATTAACACCACAATGTCACTTTTACAGATGAGATGGTTGGAGTTCGGACAGGCTATGACTTGCCAGTAGGCCTTGCAGTTAGTAACATCCTGGGCTCAGCAGGACTCACAGGCCTGCTCTTAGCACTTGTCTCTGACTCTATGACAGCTTTAGGTCAGTTTCCTGTGAGGTACATTAACTCATCGAGGTGTTACAGACATTTCTCCGGGCATTGGCTCAATCACAGTAGCAGAGCACAGTGGTTATTAAATGCCCATTTACAGATGACAGCAGAGCCCTGGTGGAGCTGTAAGTGTGGAGCTGGTGGTGGGCCCTCAGCTTGGTGGGAAGAGGTGGCAGGTTTCAATAGTGGCTGCTGCCAGCAGTGGCTTAAGTCCCTGCTGGACCCAGAGGCCTGCTGGGATCTCTTTCGACCTTCCCCTCCCAGACTAGTGCTGTCCAGTGAATTACAGTAAAGTCACATATTTACAATTTTTAGTAGCCTAAGCTGGCCGTGGTGGCCCATGACTTTAACCCCAGCACCTGGGAGGCAGAGACAGGCAGGTCTCTATGAGTTCAAGGCCAGCCTGCTCTACAAAGTGAGTTCCAGGACAGCCAGGGCTGTTGCATAGAGAAAACCTGTCTAAAAAAACAAAACACCCCCTCCCAATTTTTAGTAACCCTATGAAAACCACAAAAAACATTTAAATATATTTAAAGTAGCATTTCAATGTATTATAAGTATGTCAAAAGTATAATATGTCAAAATGTCTGAGATATTTAAATTTTATATAGTCCTTCTTTATAATTCTGTGTGTCACTTCAGTATCTCAGTTCAGACTAGTCCCATCATTAGTCATCTAACAGATAGTACACTTCTAGAATGACCCTAGATTTCTCCCTTTGTTCTGACCTCCATTATCCTGGCTCCTGCCTCAGTCTCTTTCTTGAGTAGCAGTCAGGTTTCCTTCCTAGATCAAATGCATTGCCTGTGTTACAGTTGTGTGGTTCTCTGGAACACAGTGCCCTGTGTGGGCAAACCTGCCCTAGCTGCCCATCCTTTCAGTCAGTGGCCTCACGTGGCGCATGATTGACGCTGGGGTCCTAAATGTCTGATCAGCTTTTCCTGTTCCATGTCTGTCTCGGCTTTGCTGTGGCCTGCTCCTGTTCTACCCAGCATTTCTTCCAGCTCCCAGAGAGCCTGAGCTCTGTCAGCAAGCACTGCTTCTTCCCATCTGTGCCCATGATGGCTGTCATGGCATGGAAGAGATGCTCAGTGACCACTGAACACTGCTGAATGAACAGTGACCTAGTTGGCTTTCTACTGTTGTGGTAAATACCATGACCAAAAGCAGGTTGCAGGAGGGAAGGGCTTGTGTGACCTACACTTCCACATCACAATCTATCATCACGGGAATTCACAGCAGGAACCGCGGAGGAACTCCGCTTCCTTGCTTGCTCAGCCAGCTTTCTTACACAGCCCAGACCCACCTGCTCGGGTCTGGTGCCACACGCAGTAGGCTGAGCCCTCTCACATCAGTCATCAATCAAGACAGTCTCTTTCAGATGGCCGAAGGCATGTCTGATCAAGGTAATTCTAAGTTGAGGGCCCTCTTCCCAGATGACTCTAGGCTGTGTCAAGTTCAAGTAAAAACCTAACCAGAACAAACAGCTGCTTTAGGAGACTGGCAGAACCAAAAGTCCACAGGGGTGGCTGGGAGCTTATGCCTGGAGGGTTAGACTTACACAGGGGTGTTCAAGACGTAGCTCGGACCATACCAAGCCTGAGCCCCTTTGGTGCTTTGGTGGGCTCTTCATCTAAAGAGTGGTTTTCTCAGGCTTTTTTTTTTTCTCCCTCCTAAGACAGGGTTTCTCTGTGTAACCTTGGATGTCCTGGAGCTGTCTGTAGACCAGGCTGGCCTTGAACTCAGAGATCCACCTGCCTCTGCCTCCTGAGTGCTGGGATTAAAGGCACGGGCTACCACTGCCTGGCTAGTTTTCTCAAAAGTTTTTAAAAGGATAAGAGTTAAAGGATGAGAGAGGCACATGTAACCCTGACCAGCAAAGCTTGCTGACCTGACCCCTACACTAGAGCAGCCTGTGTACCCGGGCCCAGGAACCAATCCGTAGCCCATTGCCTGTGCTGCCCTTGTCTGTGTTATGCAACTTCTGTTTACCACTCCTCTCGTTTCACCCCTTAGCTCCCTAGGAAGAGTCTAGCCTTGGCTGCTAGGCATTTGTTGTGTACTGGAGGTCCTGACAAATACTGCTTCCACAGGTGACACTAAGGTGGATAGCTGTTGATCACTCTACAGAGAGCTGGGGGTTATCCGGGTTAAATTGTCACCTATAATAGGCCACGGCACCATAACTCAGTCACTTCATCTCTAACCCACTTTTTCATTGTGATGGAGGACAGAACGTAAAAGCCTTCATGTGGCTTTAGGCATATCATTTGTGCCTATGTTGCACATCTGGAAAATTGAGAGGAGTGAGTGGGCTGCACCTCTTGAGCTCATTGAGATTAGTAATCTGAAGCATGGGGTCAGGCATGATGACACACCTCTAATCCCAGATTCAGTCTGAGGCAGGAGGATCAGGAGTTGGAGACCAGCCTGGGCTGCAGAATGAACTTCTGTTTCAGCCTCCCCTCCCTAAAGGAGAGAGTCAGCACTGAGAACATGTAGTGCCCTACAGGAGCTGGCTAGTGAAGGCCCACTGGTGTCAGATTTACAGCACCCGGTGCCTGGTGTGGGCTGAGTACCCGGAGCAGGAAGCCTTTCTTACAAACTGGCCGTTTCCTCTGGAGTAGATGGTGAAAGGCTTCTCCAACCGTGCCCGGAAAGCCCGGCTTTCGGAGCCCCAGCTGCACGACTACAATGACTTGGCCCTCTATGGCCACTGGCAGACAGAGGAGTATCAGCCCCCTGTGGCTGTAGATGGGAAGGTAAGGACAACTCTGGGGGGTCAGAGTCAGCCACCCTGTTTTCCATCCAGCTACTCCCTGGCATGCCCATCTCTGCAGGTACCGCGGAATGAGTTTGGGAACGTGTATCTCTTCCTGCCCAGCATGATGCCTATCGGTTGTGTCCAGATGCACCTGCCCAACCTGCACCGTGTGGCCCGCAAGCTGGGCATCGACTGTGTGCAGGCCATCACTGGCTTCGATTTCCATGGAGGCTACTGCCATCCAGTGTGCGTGAGGGGCCTTCGGTGGCAGGTGGGGAGGCTGAGGCTGGTGGGCTTATTTTCCAGATTTGATTCTGGGTTTAAAGTCAGCCTTATCCCCTGATCAGTCCCAGGTTCTAACAAGAAGCTGCAGACCCAGTGCAATGAGTGTCCTGGTACTTCTAGGCTGAAGCACTACCCCCCTGCTGGTCACAGGCTGGGGACTAAACCATGATCAGTGCCCTTGGTTCCTGAGCACTCCTGTATGAAGTGGGGACTAGGGTTGAGAATTCTCACTCTACCACTCAGGCAGGGCCTGTGGAGGAAGAGGCACAGGTTACCACAAGCCTGTCGCCTGCATGAGTGGCATCTGTCACTGGCTGGCCAGGAATGCCTATCAGGACCCCAAGTACTCAGAAAAGGCCACTGGCTTCTGAACAAGGAAGGAGGAGGGGTGGAGTAGGTGACCAGCTCAGGGAGCTCATCTGTGTTACTGTCCCCACAGAACTGATGGCTACATTGTCTGTGAGGAATTCAAAGACGTGCTGCTGACTGCTTGGGAGAATGAACAGGCCATCATTGAAAAGAAGGAGAAGGAGGTGAGTAGGGTGAATGGGGCCTTGGAGAAGAGCAACAAGTTCCACTGGGGTCTCTGCCCAGGCCACTCCTGCATCATGGAAGACTGGGGAAGTCCGTGTGTTAGCCCTTCTGGTGCTCTGACTTGATGGAGGGCATCCTAGGGTGAGTGCTGGGTGAAACAGCTCCCTTCCACACTCCATGTCCACTGTCCTGTCGCCTGTTTGCCTGCATGCAGGCTCAGGGACTGGGCCCTGACTTGGAAAGCCCAGGTCCTAGACCTGATTGCTGCCTTCCAGTCAGTGATGGTTCTGAAAGACTTGGTTACTAATGGCTTTTACATGTGTCACTTACTAAATCTGACTTGTGGTTTGGAAGCAAGACTTGGTGTGATGGGAGACCCTATCTGTTTTCTTTTCCCTGTGTGTGTGTGTGTGTGTGTGTGTGTGTGTGTGTTATGCATATGTGTATATGCATGCTTGTGGGGCGGGGGCACTGATGGCATGTGGAGGCCCAAGGTTAATATCTGGAATCCTCATTCTATCACCTTACTCGTTGAGGAAGTTAGCTCACTGATAACTAGCCAGCTTGCTCTGGGGATCCTGTCTGCACCCTCTGAGGCTCTATTACAGGCAGGCCTGCCACACACACAGAGCATTTATGTGAGTTCTAGGGACCCAAACTCTGGTCCTTCCGCTTGTGCAGCAAGTGCTTTAACCACTGGGCATCTCCCCAGGCAGGAAGATTCTTCCAACCTGAATTGCATAGACAGATGTCAGAACATCAGGCTCTGCCTTATGTTTCTCTGTGATGCCATGGCTTCACCTTTCCTCCCTTTATTTCTGTCTGCAGAAAAAGGAGAAGCGGGCGCTGGGGAACTGGAAGCTGCTGGTCAGAGGACTGCTCATCAGAGAGAGGCTGCAGCTCCGATATGGGGCCAAGGTCAGCATGGGGCCTTTGTGGACAAAACAAGCCTGGTTACCACTCAGTCACTGGCCCAGATTCTGGGACATCACAGTAGAGTGGCTCTGTATTAGGAAGCCTGCCTGTTGGCCTCAGCTAGCTGCCCCTGCCCTGTCCTGTTGTCCCTCCTAACCTGGACACCTGCACTGGGTCTAGTTTGCTGCAAAGTTCCATGTGTGTTGGGCCTTCTGTGTCGGCACCTCTTGGCTTCCAGGATTCCCAGTACTGTGACCAGCTTTGGGCCTGCACACTTCACACCTGCAGTCCCTGTCTACAGTGCTGGGTTGGGGGAGGGTTTTCATCTCAGTACAGGCAGAACCTAGAGCAGTTGTGTGATGGGTACTAAGTCAGAGCCATCAGACCGTGCTCTAAATGTCCTTTTCCCTTTATGATCTGTCTCTCTTCCCGTTGCCTGTTTGCTAAAGATACTTTAGCCATGTGTTCACTTGAATCCTGTCAGGGAACCCTTCATCAGGCTTGTTCTCACTGGCTCCTGGCTACCCATACACTGTCTTCCTTTCCATCTAGGACCCCTCCCCACAGCTAACCTAGCCAGCCTCACCTCAGATCCTCCAGGGGTACCACCCCAGTGCTAAAGATTGGTCCTAAGCACTAAGCAGTTGAAAATACCATGCATGTGTGTCAGTGAAGCGCCATGCACAGCGGTAGCCGTTTGCCCCTGGACTTGACTGAGCTGCCTGCCTTGGCACCCTCTTTCCATCAGCAGTTCTCACCTAAGTACCTGCTTGACTGAGCTCCTCGCCTGCGGAAGGCCAGTAAGGCAGCCTGGGCTCTCCCAGCACCACCCAGAACCCTTGTCTTCCAAGGGGCCCGTCCCAAGACCAGGTTCTTCTGGGAACTTTGCTGCCTTTTAAAGTCAATTCTCTGCAGCTAGCCATTAACTGTGGCTCCTCCACTGTCTTCCCCCAGAGCGAGGCAGTAGCTCCCCATGCAAATGCAGGAGGCGGACTCTCTTCTGATGAAGAGGAAGGGACCAGCTCACAAGCAGAAACAGCCAGAGTCCTGGCTGCCTCCTGGCCACAAAACCGAGAGGCTAAAGAAGAACAGAAGCCCGAGTACCGTAAGATGACCCGGAAGAGGCGGGCAGCAGAGGCTTCACATCTCTTCCCATTTGAGAAGCTGTGAAGCGAGTGTCCACCAGGCCAGGTAGCAGTTCTTGTCTGCGGCTGGTGGTCTGGGGACTACAGGCCAAATGGAAGTTGTGCTGCAGTTCGGTCTGACCCATGGGGTAGTGCTGGAGCTACCCAGAACCCACCCCGGAAGTTGGAACACTTTCCTGGGAGATACCTTCTGACTCCTGGACTTTGGTATTTCCATCTTTGGAAATGTGAGTTTCTTTTAGAAGTCTTATATGTTGCCCCAGCTGGTTTCAAATTCAAAATCCCTGCCTTATGCCACCATGCCTTGTCTGGTTTTTTCTTTTAGTTTTTAAATAGAAATCCCTGGGAAATTCTGGGTATTGGAGCATGTGGACACACCCTTCTTTAGTGCTGTTCATACCGGGATGCTTTGCTCTCCTCTCCTGCAGGCCCGGGGCATTCGCTTTTCAGGCCTTCCTTTGCCCGAGTCAGGTTTTCAACACTGCCCGGTGCTCTTTTGTCAGGACACAGGCCATCTCTTGTCAAGGCACTTTTGGGATTGATTTTATAGTTGGCACAAGACTAGAACAAAGAGCTGGATCAAGAAAGGGTAAACAAATTGAGAAGTATGAAAATGTTAGTGAAAGATTAGTTAGACTGTTTTATTCAGTTCTGGATACATTTACTCTGTACTGATACGTTTACTTAGCTGCTCTATGCCAGCTACTCAGGAGAAAGCCCTTTTATAAAATCTTGACAGAAAATAAAGCATTCACCTAAAAGCACTTGGCTATGTGTTTTCTTTCAGGTCTTAAACCAGCTAAGAGGGTCCAGGTAACAGACTTCAGTGTGCACTGAGATTTGGGGGAAGCTCAGGATTGTTTTCATGGAGGCTAGGAACCCCTTACACACAAAGGAAGCTTTTTGTGTGTGACTGTATTCGATATTACTTGATCTTAGTGTCTTTAAAATGTTGAGTCACTCTTACCAAGGCAAACAAACAAAACACTTGGGGTATGACTCATATTGGACACTCTGGTAGAGAAACAAACTAGGGTCACCATGGAAACCGTATTCGCACACTTCCTGCACCAGAGCCTGACAGGCTTCCTAAACACGATTCATTTTGGGGGTTTTAGTTAGGCATGGCCATGTCTCTGGAGATGTAACCTAATCTGTCAGGTGTCAGCTATGAGAAGGCATGATGGGAATGACAGGTTAGGTTTGGAAAGTTTGCCTGCTAGGTGACAGCATGGCAGTGCCTCGGACAGGAAGGAAACGATGAAGAGGTGCAGTGCAGTAGGCACTTTGGGTTCAGCTCGTTTATTAATTACAGCCATGTGTGGTGACAGGCTCTGTTCCCATTTTACAGATGCAACCGATTGGCCCAACACCGTGAGCTAGTAAGACAGACTTGATCTGTGTGACACTCAAAACCAGAGCTCTCAGCGCTGCATACTTGTAGCACATTCTCAAGGTTTGTGAAGCATGAGTCACTCACTTTGAATAGAGCCAAGACAAAGTGGGCTCAAAGGCGAGGAATAGCAAGCTGCCCTTTCGGAAAGAATTGAAACCACCTACAGCAACAGAGAGCTGAGTTGGTTGGAATGAGTCTGATGGCTGATTTCCCTAAAAAAAAAAAAAAAAAAAAAAAAGCAACAACTCCCCTCCCCCCCGCCCCCCCAAAAAACCAACCAGACTACTGGCAAGATCCTATACCAAAAGATAATAGAAATTTATTTTGAATTTTTATACAAAGAATACAAACCTCAGTTTCTCAAAGACATCAAATTATTTTTCCATAATTTTTTCTTGAGAACACTTTTAAGCTGGCAGGTAAAACTCATATAAAAAAGTTATGCAGACTGAATCCTGAGGATTGCGTATGTAGCTATCACTAATTGTACCATGTTTTCCCAAACCATCTTTTGGCGTTTAGAAGAGATTGTACCAGCATGCACTGAGCAGTAGTGACTATTGTTTCCATCCTAAACCCAGTAAGCCATCTCTGGCTGCAGTTTTACCAAGAACCCCAGCAGAAAGCACAGATACCACAGGACGTGAAAGGGACTGTTATTTATCACTAGGGTCAGGGGTCCTGATATCTTACCTACCAAACTCACTGTTGTTGCTACAGCAACCACTAGGGCAATTTGCAAATAGAATCGAGTACAGGATAAACCAAGGATCTGTGACACTGGGGCTAAGCATCCCTTCAAAGGTGTAATAGTAGAGAGGAAACTTAGTAGACAGGAAACTTAGAAACCATGTCCAGTGATGGGCATTAAATGCAAAACGAACCACTGTGCTGCAACTACTTGAGGCTGTAGTGCCAAGGGCAAAAGCATTCCCAGGGAAAAAGTCTACACCAGACCAGACGTGGGTCTCCTCCAGCAAGCCTTGCTTCTCTGATTCTTGGCTTTAGTTGAGTGGAGGTCACAATGAATGAGACCTCTTAGTTAGAAAGCTTCCAGCCCTTTCCTGTAACACTGACTACAAACTCAAAATCACCTTCAAGTGAACAGGTGGTCTGTGGTGGCAGAGGATAAAGGGGATGCTTCCTCCACAGTCCCAACCCAGCATGAAAGAATCCGCTAACACTGCATGTTCAAAAGCATCGCAAAGCTACAGCCTCCCCATGGCCTCAGGAACTAACAGGGTCAAGCCACACCCACTGAAACAGCATTCCTGCTGAGTTAATCTCAGTGACAGCAACTGTCAAGCAGGAGCCACTCACGGGGCTTTGAACTCTAAACTCCTTGGGATAGAACACGAGAAGAGTGGAGTAACAGAACCAAAACTCTGTCCAGCCGCAGTGATAGTGACCTTTGGGATAAGAGCTTCAGTGTTTCTTTAGGCTACATCAAGTTCTATCCAGAAACCTGGTTTGGGGTACACCACCTCCAGGTCTGGGTATGGTGTGTCCTACTGATGAGATGTGGCCAGATGTAGTGGATGATGGCTGCTTTCTGGGGTTTCAGTTGTAGCCGGAGGTTGTGGCAGTCCTGGTACTTGGTTTCAGTGATGAGGGATGAGCAGTGAGAAGGCTGAGTCCTTCACCAGCAGGTCAGCTGATAGTTGAGTGGAATAAAGCCCTGAGAGGGGAAGGCATTAAGCAGGACAGTACTCGCTGGGTTGCCATCCTCAGGCTGCTGCTGCCCATCAAAGCTGCATTTTGGCCACCAAAGCTGCATTTTGGCAAGAAGTGGGGTGGAGATGTGAGCTGGTGAACACCAAGCTCTACATGCAGGTGTAGACACTGGCCCCTTGAAGAGTGGGGTGTGCAGATGCCTGTTTCAGCTGGAGCTGGGCAGAGGTGACAGGGGACCTGGCCTCTGAGGCTTCATTCCAGCTTTTTGGCTGGCACCCGGGTCCGTGCAATGATTATGGGCACCAGAGCCAGGCAGCCGATTAGAGCAGCCCACAGCGGTCGGTAGAAGAGCCAGCCAGCTGCCACAGTCAACAGGGTCAGTGAGGTGGCTACACAGAAGGCAAAGGCTTTCAGGCCAATGTTGACCAGGTCTCGGAAGACAGGAAACCAGTCCACTGTGGGGAAAGAAAAGGCCATGAGTCCCTGAGGACACTGTGCTCCCTGCCCTAGACTGCTCCTCTCAGCTATTCCAGGGAGGAAAGGGTCAACAAGGTGGAGCCAAACAGCCTCACACTCGCCTAGGATATCCAGGGGAGGAGAAGCTCAGCAAGCTGGTATCCACAACTTTATTCCTGCAGCCCAGTCTCAAGTGTGGGTGCCTTGGCCCTTCAAAGTCCATGCTGAGGCCACTGAAAAGATACCCATAATACCCTCCCTCCCACAGAGCCAATGCTGATACTCTACACTGCTCAGTCAGAGCTTGACCTCTGAGCCACTATGCCAAGCCTGCAGAGGAAGCACCTGGCGTTCAGCAGGTCACCCTGGCTGATGGACAGGGAAGACCACATAGGCCCTGCCGGAGCTCCCATTATCCCTCCACACTGCATCTGCCCTGCCAGCATGCCTTCAATGGAAGAATTAGGATCACAGACAGGGCTTCTCAAACATGATGGGGACCGAGACACAGAGGGATTGCCCTGTCCTCAGTCCTCAGTCACATGGCCAAGATAGTTCTGCTTAAATTCTGATGGTTCTCTGTCATGCCCACAATGTGGCTGGTATTTATGAGCATACCTCAGTTGTCTAGGGCCATCTGTAAATGAGGAAATCCCCCTCAACCTCCAACACTTGCTGCCAATCTGGGATGTGTTCCAGCCACACCTCTCCCTAGTCCTTAGACCTAAGTGGGGGAAGGGTTTCTGCTGGCACCACAAGAAGGCTGGATGGGGACACACTGGGGCAGAGGCCTGGGTACTGAGTCTCCCTGAGCAGGCTTTCATCCTGCATGGACAATATCAGCCTGGCACACCAGGTCCTGAACCAAACTGGGACATTTAAACTTGGGCTCTCTGATGCCAGACTTAGGGCAAGTGAGCAGCCCCTCCCAGGCTCCAGATGTGTTAGCTGTTACAAACCTGGCCTGGCTTTGGAGGCTGTTTCTATACAAGAAACTCCTGAGCAAGGGCAAGAAAAGGAAGCCCAGGCAGGGGTATCCATGACTCTGACTTGAGGGATTTCAGGTACAGATCCAGTTCATAGCACAGGCTGGCAAGCCTCCTCCCCAGAGCTGTCCAGTTATGGAGTAAGGGATGAGCAGAGCTGGCCAAATCATGAAAACTGGACCAGCCTCCCACCCCTCAGCAGGTGTGAACATCCTGTCCCTCACACCTGCCTTTCTCTGCCATTTGTCTTAAAGCTACTGGGAGAGGCAGGGCTTGGGGAGGCTGCACATAGAGACAGGCCAGATGTTTGGTGTCTTTCTCAAGGATTCCATCAGGCTGAAAGGCTGACCAGTGCAGTATGATGAACACAGGACCTCAAGAGGGAAGGATGGCTCCTGCATGTTCCTCACTTACCCAGGGTGTAGAGGATCCGTGTCATGAGGTTGAGGCCCATAAACATGGCCATCCAGCCGGCCGCTCGCAGGCCCCACGTCTTCATGGAATTGCTCTTCTGTTCTCTACGGAATACCTCCTATAGGACAAGGTGGCATGGTGTCAGGACCCAGTCACCAACCAGCAGTGTGGGTCCTGGGGGTGCAGATTGTTGGCCATTTCCTTACAGAGCACAGGGAGACGGGCAAACCTCTCACCTGTGGCTAAGTCTCTGCCTGTCTGGCTCAAGAACGTAGAATAAGAGCTCTATGGCCTTAGCACATGGTCTCACCTGGAAGAGGGTCACAATCCTTCCCATTGCAGCTGTCCATATGGGGGCACCTCCCACCCTTCGAGTGGATGGTTTGAAAGTGCATGCTGGTCCTGGGTGAAGCATCAGCCCTCAACCCAGGTCACTGCTTGCAGCTTCAGGACCCCTGGCCCTGACTCTCCCTCCTACTCTGTAGGCTGTGCCTTCTGACCCCATTGCTGTCCCTGGTTTTCTTCCTGGCCTGTAAATGCTGATATTCTTTGGCTGCTTCCTTCATCCACTCTGCCCAGGACGCCCATGCACCCCATGGTCCCATGTGCCTGTACTCAAACATACCACTACACACCCAGCACTGCTTTAGGGCTGCCCTGCCTCCAGCTCCCACTGCCTCCTAGACATTGTCCCAGCCTCCTGGCATGCTGAGCATTGATCCAGAGCCCCACCCCATCCTGAGTCTCTGTCTTCTCCATGGCAGCACACAGCCCCACTGCCCACCCACCTACACAAGCCAAAACCTGTGGTCAGTGTGGTCTGTCCGCCCTCACCATA